TTGAAATCAAACTTTTTGGAGCTTTCAAGTAAAGTCTCATAATTTATTTTTTGTTTAGGTTTTATTTTCGATTGCATCCAGCATTTTTTTGTTTTTAAACAGAAGAACACAGATTCATGGTCTGTAATGGCAGATTGTAAAATAAAAGAACTTAATTTCGTTTTTAATACGATATGATCTAAACAAGTATTACCTCTAGTAGGTGTGTAATAAGCAGGGGTCAACCCCAGGAAAGATAAAGTTTCGATATAGCTGGATGTTTTTTGGTTTAAATCTGCAATATTAATATTTATATCCCCTATAACGAGGATATTTTTGTATTCAGTGTGGTTTACAAGTATATTATGCAGAGACCATAGATTACTAATACTAACTTAATAAAATTAACTTAATTAACTGAATAAAATTGTCAATGTTATGAAAACTGGGGGGTCTATAAATGACAATTATGACAGTGTCTTTATTTATTTTTAAAAGTAGACAATTTGCCTCTAAAATGTTTGGCTCTTCAATTTTAAAGACAAGATCATTATTAATCAAAACGACGTTTTGATTTTTTTTTTTTTATAGAAGAGGGGGCAAACGAGCATGTGGCTCACCTGATGTTAAGTGACTACCGCCGCCCATGATCAACTGCAACACCAGGGGAATTGCAGACGCGTTGCCGGCCCTTCAGAAAGGAGTAAGCTCTTTTCTTGAAGGTCCCCAGGTCGTATCGGTCCGGAAAAATCGCTGGTGGTAAATTATTCCACAGAGAGGTTGTACGCGGAAGAAAACTCCTTTTGAAACGTACAGTGGTGGACCGCCAAGCATCCAGATGGTGTGGATGGTATCGGGACGTTTGCCGCGTAGTGCGTTCACGAAATTTGGCGGCTGGGATTAATCCGAACAATTCCTCAGAGCACTCTCCATGGTATATGCGAAAGAAAATGCAAAGGGATGCAACATCTCTTCGCAGTGCCAGAGAATCGAGCCGATCGGAAAGCACTCGGTCGTCGACGATTCGAGCCGCTCTGCGCTGGATGTGGTCAAGTGGAAGGAGCTGGTACTGGGGAGCCCCAGCCCAGAGATGGGAACAGTATTCCATGTGCGGCCGAACCTGCGCCTTGTAAAGTTGCACGCGGTGTGCCGGCATGAAATACTGTCCCGCTCTGCTGAGCACGCCAAGCTTTTTAGAGGCCAATTTGGCCTTCCCTTCCAAGTGACCACGAAACTGCACGTCACTCGATATGTCGACGCCGAGGATTCCGATACTGGCTGAGGCAACAAGGGGAGTGCCTTGAAACTGAGGGGATACGACAAAGGGGTTCTTTTTAGCGGTTAACGCGCAAACTTGTGTCTTCTGGGGGTTAAACTGGACTAGATTTAGTCGCCCCCAATCCGAGACTCTGTCCAGCAGAGACTCGACTTCAGACACAAGTTTGTCCCGGCACTCGGAGACGTTTTCCCGAGAAATATTGGCTCGGCCGGTGTAAAGAGCATCACCAGTGCTGTCATCTGCATAGCAATGAATGTTACGGGTCTGCAACATATCACTGATATGCAGAAGAAACAGCGTTGGCGATAGCACGCAGCCCTGTGGAACACCAGCATTAATAGGCTTGCAATCGGAGCTTGCACCGTCTACAACGACCTTGATGCTCCGATCTGCAAGAAAACTGGTGATCCAATCGCACAATTTCTCGGGAAGCCCATAGGAAGGGAGCTTCGAAAGAAGCGCTTTGTGCCAAACCCGATCGAAGGCCTTCGCAATGTCCAAACTAACGGCCAATGCCTCCCCCTTGGACTCTACTGCCTCCGCCCATCTGTGAGTTAGGTAGACCAGAAGATCACCAGCTGACCTACCACGGCGAAAACCGTATTGGCGGTCACTAATCAGCTGGTGATCCTCAAGGTACCTCATGAGCTGGCAGTTTACAATGGACTCCATTGTTTTGGAGAACAAGGAGGTGATGGCGATAGGCCGGTAGTAGGACGGGTCTGAGCGGTCGCCTTTTTTAGGGATCGGGTGGACGAAAGCCGTCTTCCATGATTTTGGGACTACGCCTAGGGAGTAGGAGTACCGGAAAAAACGCGTTAAAACCGGTGCCAACTCTGGAGCACACGCCCTCAGCACAATTGGGGGGATTCCGTCAGGCCCACTCGACTTGTGGATGTCCAGGGAGAGGAGTGCTTTGCGAACCGAGCGCTGAGTGAACTGCACTTCCGGCATGGAGCACTCACACCGCGGGATGGTCGGCGGCGTACTCCCCCCGTCATCGAGAGTCGAGTTAGACGCAAAGAAAGAGCCTAGAAGATCGGCTTTCTCCTTTGCGGTGTGGGCCAGTGAGTCGTCCTCCTTGTGCAGAGATGGAAGAGATGGCTGACAGAAATTCCCCTGGACAGCCTTGGCGAGAGACCAGAATGTACGGGTTCCAGAAGGAAGACGAACTAGTTTCTCGCCAATTCTGCCTATGTGCTCTGACTTTGCCTTGGCAATGACTCTTTTGAAGGACCTAGAGGCGGAATTATACTTCTTTTTTAGAGCGCTGGTGTTTACATCCCTGGACGCTGATGCGTCAGCCCAGGCCTGGTAGCACTCCTGCTTATAGCATGATGCTATTTTACAGGAGCGACCAAACCATGGCTGAGATTTGCCTCCAATGGGCACCACAGAGGAAGGAATAAAAAGTTCCATACCCTGAAGTACCACATCAGCGACAGAATCCGCAACAACGTTGGGATCGTCCGGCGAGAAGCAAACCCGCCCCCAAGGGTAAGATGCAAAGAAAGACCGCATCCCATCCCAATCGGCTGACCTATAGTGCCAAACACGGCGGCAGCCTGCAGAATGCATTCGCGATTTCAGCGTGAGTGGACACCACACTCCGGACAAGACAATGGTCCGAGGAGCCTAAAGGGGCGTCGACGGAAATCTGATATCCGTCCGGGTGAGAGGAGAGAAGGTCCAACAGGGAAGGTGCATGATCCTCCACATCTGGAATCCGCGTAGGCGAAGTAACCAGTTGTGTCAGACCATATGACAAGGCAAAATCATGAACAGATCTCCCCGCATGATCGGTTAAACGTGAACCGAGCCATTCGGCGTGATGGGCGTTAAAGTCGCCGAGGATCACGATCTCTGCGGAGGGGATCTGCTGTAGCAACGAATCTGCAGCCATTTGGACGTGGTCGAAGAGTCGGTCTGTTTCGGCATTACCGCTGTGGGACCTATAGAGGCACCCGTAGATGCGCGGATGGTCGTCGCTGTCTACGCGTAGCCAAAGGATGGACAGGTCCGAACCTTCAAGTCTGCCGAGGCGTCGAGAACAGATGTCCTCTCTGACGTAAACGCAAACTCCAGCCCGAGGCACAAAGGAGTGTTCCAGTTTGTACCCCGGGTAGGAGAGATACGAGACATCAGCCGGAGAGGACACCTGCGTCTCGGTCAGAAAGAGCAGAGCCGGCCTCGCCGTCTCGAGATGGTAGTGGACGGCGTTTAGGTTGGAGTGAAGTCCCCTGATATTGCAGAAATTCACGGACAGCGTGGCAGGGGTCGCCTTGGTCTTGTTGCTCCGTTTGCCCCGAGCAGTTTTAGTCTTGAGCGGAATTTTGCCCCCCCCCCCCCAGAATACGCGGGGCAGCCTGAGCACCCACGCTCAGAAGTGGAAAAACATGGTCGTGGATGCTCAGCGAGGGATTCTCCAGGGGTGCTGGTACCCTCCTGGGGTAGTCTATCATTGAATTCCGCTACCATGTTGATGGGGGGGGGATTTGGGCCTCCGGCCACCTGCACTCACCAGACGAAACGCGGAAGCAGAGCTTCCACTTCACGCCGGTATTCTGTGAGGTCGTGGTACCACCCCGGTTTGAGCCGGCCCATACGTGCGACAGCAAAGCTGCCGCGTGGCTCTACCACTGTGATTGTAGTTAGAAGTAGTACTAAAGGTAGAATACCCTGACAAATAAAGTAAATTAGTAACATGTGAGAGCCAGCATTCAGACAGAATTATAATATCACAAATTAATTCTATTCTTCTCAATAAAACATTAAAATTATTATAATTTTTGTTTATACTCCTAATGTTTTGTTGTAAAATTTTTAGGTATAAATTAGGGTATACTTCAATTTTCGTTATTTCATAGTCATCTATAGTATTAATAACATTTAAGTCTTCTATCGATCACAGTAAATACAATTAGGCTACTGATAAAAGGTTTCACAAACAAGTTTTTTAATATTTTATAAAATACCATTTTTAGTTTTATATATGAAGAGTTTTCACGTCTTTTTTATTTGTACGTAAATACGTCTTAATTATTTTAATAATTGTTGAAATTTGATGAAGTCTTAGAAAGTTGGTTACATTAATAGTTGTGATTACAGTACTTAAGAAAGGTATGTTTTGAGATTGTGTACGTTTGGGTACGTAGAAAATACATTTTGTTAACGTTTTAGTAAGATTGAATGTGTATAACAGCATTTTTAGTCTATTGAATGAATTATAGTGTATAGTAAGTAAAGTAAATAAATAAATTATATACAAAAATATAAGTGTGTATGAGATACCTATGATACAAATTCTTATGTTGTATTTATGTTCTTGAGGTCTTGCTCGTTTTTTATACGAAATAGTGCTTCGCCTTCTTTCTTTCGTAGATATATGGTACCTGGCGTGGCCCAACAAAACTTGTACTCGTTTTTAGCAGCAAAATCTCTTGCAAGAAAATACAGGCGTTTCATTTTAGGTGTTAAAAAGTCAGTGATAAATATTTGTGTACGCGGGCCTTCGAAGTTTAGGTGTTCTGTGCTGAGCCCTTTTCCATTGTTTTCCTTTTGAAACATTTTTAAGGAATTTAAAAGTTTGTTTTTTGTCATAACTAATGAAGTCTACTATGACTGAATTTTTGGACTTACTTTTCGTATAGATTTTTTGAATATTACGTATGTCTGTTTGTTCCAATTTAATTTTTAACACAGTTGCATGCGATGTTACCAAATTTTGCTGATCTTGGTCTGTTTATCTTTTTATACTCGGGATATTTCTTATTTCTATGCATGACGCATGATTGTTTCTCTCCAATATTTCAATTTTATTTTCTAGATTTTCAATATAAATTTTGTCCACTTTTTTCCCTTGAAGTAAATTATCATATTTATCTTTTAAACTGTCATATTGATGAGATAAAAACTCGAGGGAGGACGAAATATGAGTGTTTTGGTCCTTAATTGTATTCATTGTTTCTAATAGTGTTGCGTATTTCTCGTCCTGAGTCGACGTCCAATTAGAAAACATACTTTCGAATTTTTGCATAAGAAACTCGATGTCATCACCTTGCTTCCGCTTCTGAGGTCTCATAGTTATATTTTTGTCCTCTGATAAATCTGGGGATGACGAGGAGCAGTAAAACTGAATTTTGGAAGGTGAACGTTCGATTGGCATAATGAAGAATAAAATAAACTCCTTTCTCCTTTGTGTCAAACACAGCGTTTTCTATTACTTATAGGTGACTTAGTTACAAAAAGTGTAGTCCTATTTGTGGTCTAAGATGCTACTTTCCGACGTCAAAGCGTTTAAAGCGATAACTAGGTAATTTATAGCAAAATAGCAAAGAAAAAGAGATAGCTGTATAGACTTTTAAAAGACCTTTCGTCAATACGTATAAGGGCGTAATTCCACTTTAAAAATTAATTGGATTAGATGGGCGTGGTTATGCAATTCTCATTTTATTTAAATCTTGGTAAGAATGCTATCTCACTCACCAGTATAATATCTTCGCTCTGTTCAGATGCAGTACGACACTTTTGTATTACGTAGGAATGGTACTGAATAATTTAATAGTTGAAATAAATTGCAATATTGATCGATAGTTAACTAATCTATCAGAATTAATCTAAAAAATAATGCATTTACTTTATTTTAATTGACTTTCCTTTCTTTAATCCGTCCAATACTTTGAATTTAAAAAGAGGTAAGTCAAAACTATTAAAATTACTTCCAAGTTTTATTGTGATTGCCGCCTCTAATTCATATCTCGTCTGCAAATTTGAGTAAGTAAATTTCGGTTTGGCATTGCCAACACCTATTTGCCAAATTGCCCGAAAATCCATGTCAAATTCCCCTCAATTTTATCACTTATACCTTAAAACGGGCAATTCTTGTATATATATATATATATATATATATATATATAATCGGAATGTCGGAAACGGCTCCAACGATTTTCATAAAATTTAGTGTCCAGAGAGTTTCGGGGGCAATAAATCGATCTAGCTAGGATTTATTTTTAGAAAATGTCTCTTTGTTCGTGTTTTCAGGCTATAAAAAAACTGCTACAATATAAGAAGGTAAATTACAGGTTACTAACGAGCATAATAGCTCAGATGGGATGTTGTTCGGGCGTGATATCGGTGTTCCGTGGTTCGCGTCCCGTCTTTAGTCCGACTTTTTTTCCTTTTTTTTTCAAGTTCCCTTCTTTTGTGAGAAAATCTATTATTTCGAGCCCTTTTTTTTAGTATTTTTTAAAAATACGAAAATTTTAATTAATCTAATTTTACTCATGATTTTTTATTCAAATAACCAGTTCAGTTTTTTCTATTATGTCAATAAGATCAAAAACTATTATTCATGAAATTTGTATATAAATGTAACTTAAAAAAACCGAGCAAAGCTCGGTCATCCGGGTACTTTTAAGTAATGAAACAATATTCAACTAGTTACAAAATATATATTTTTTAATCAACATTTTTTTACCAAAAAATTTATCTTCACACTTTTCATATTTTTGTAACAAGGACTAAATGGAGTATTTTTAATTCCTTCCCTTGTTGCCATTAAAAAGGACCACAGTAGCTCCATTTACTCTGCTGTTAAATTAAAAAAATAAAGAAATAAAAAGCATTAAATGATACACAAAAGGTGCCAAAATAAACCCGAAAATTAAATTTTGTGCAAGAAGATAATTAAAAAAGGGAGTCATTCGATATTCATAAGTAACCTAACAAAACTGTTAAGATAAGTACTTAGATTTCTTGAAAAAAGGTTGCGACTTGGCCCGGGCAATCTATTTTCAAAATCCCTACATAATACCAATTCCCAATCAACTTTATTGTTCCCGTAATTTGGGGAATTCCCCACATATTGGCATTGTAAATTGCGAGGTAACACGGGTCGGCCGGATGGCGGCAGCGCATGTGTGAAAGGGAAGGTTAGAGTGAGGGTCGTACAGTAATACCTATGCATTTTTTTGTCATATTTATTCTGTGGTTTCGTAAAAAGCTAAATAAAAGTGTTCAGTGTAAATTAATTGTTTTATTTTTTTGATTTCCGAGACATATTCATATGATTTTCCAATATATTTAATTAATCTTGATGTGCTTGTGTATGCTCGATATTTTGAACCATAGATATGGAAATAAGACATCACCAAACAGTATTTGGCAAACACATCACTAGAAACGTCAAAAAGTGACAAAAAGCACAGAGCTTGCGATAGCTGTTTGCTGATTTGCTCCTCTTCTTACAAATACGAAAATACGAATTAAATCACTGCAATTGAACCAATTAAACTGATTAACTCATTTAATTAGTCGTGTTAAATTTATTATAAAGCTGAGTGCAGTGTAATCCTGTCTACATGCGAATTGCGATGTGCGTTGTTTTCGTTGCTTGACATGTACCTATGTTGGGAGAATTCCTAAATAGACCTTTCATGTTGGGTTTAAAAATAACATAGCAGTGTCGCGGCGAATCGGGAGGCGGTGCCTGATCGTGAGCGTCGAACTCCTCACCATGGGCACAAAATCTGGATTAAATTTTACCTTACTCATTTTAGGTAAGCCAGGCCTTGTTTGTACACAATGAAATGCCATCCAGAAATATATATATTTTATTAAACTGCCTTTAAGACGTCAATAGATTATCATAATTTTACTTTCAAGTTTTAATTTAATTGAAAATAAATGTATGGTAAAATATGTAATGTCCTAGGTATGGTTTGTTAATGTTAAGAGATTCAGGAAGTAAATTTTATTTGCTTCAAATGAAGTATAATTATTGTATTTATTGATGAATCAGTAAATTGGATAGTTAATAATATTCCATTTCTCTATTCTTTTTTTAAATTTACTACTCCGAAATCAGTACTGGAATAGAAACTGGATATTATCTTTTTATAATATTGTCTTCTTTAAATGAAACATTAATAAACCCGTAAGTAATCAGATTGGTTTTTAAGTGTATTATGAATTGTAGCAAACCAGCAACCACAAGTATTGACATAAAAAAACAGCATTAAACTATTGGCAACATATAAAAAAACATTGTTAACTTTTAAATTTCACAAATTCAAGCAAAAGCCAATGTCTCAGGGGTGATAATGCATTTGCATTTTAATTCTTAATTGATAATTGATATAGATGTGTATAAAATATATATTTAGTTGTACTTGGAACCCATGATATCTAAGTACCACTTCTAATACATCATATAAGAAAAAATTGTATCACCTAAAAGTTATATTATTAATACTACTATAACTTGAGTTTACTACATAATATGACTATTGTATAATGATTATCATTTTGCATTGGATTTAAGGTATACAAGGAACAGTGCTGGCAGCACCACCCATGGATGAAAATCTACCACCACGACCAAAAGGTGGAGGAGTGGAGACACACTTTTGTGAATTTTTTAACGATTCAACTGAGTGTGATGCAACAAAAAATTCAAGTTGTCCACCTTCTGAAGTTAAAAGAGATGAATGTCAAGCAATAGAGGCTGGAAAAAGTAACCATTGTTTTACCTTGTGGTACTTTAACAATGAGACAAACAAAGCCACCGTTAAAGTGAAGGGGTGTTTCCTTGATACTGTAGCGTGTAATGACAGAGCTTCAAACTGTACTTTACACAATGTCAAACTGCCCCTTCTTCATTGCTGCTGTGAAGGAGATATGTGTAATGAAAATGCAACATTCCCAGGCTTGGAAGCTGGGGTGTTACCACAGACTGAATCACCTCCAGAACGTGTTCCAGCATCTCCATTACCAACTGCGGATGATGACACTGAAGCTGTTATTGCATATACATTGACACCCCTTTTCCTTTTATTTGCAATTTTAGTAGGCTGCTATCTCCTCTATAGAAAACGTAAAGGCAGCTCCTTTGCAGAATTAGCTAGTGGAGAGGCTTCGTTATCTAGACCGCCATCTGCTGGAGCTGGCACGGAAAATGAAACAGGCGGATTACTAAGTCAAGTTACATTGTGCGAAGTACGAGCTAGGGGACGGTTTGGTGCGGTTTGGAGAGCAAAATTGGGACCTAAAGATGTTGCCGTAAAAGTTTTTCCATTGCAAGATAAACAATCTTGGGTGGCTGAACAAGAGATATACCGGCTGCCAAGGATGGATCACCCAGACATTTTACACTACATTGGTGTTGACAAAAAGGGTGACAATCTTCAAGCTGAGTACTGGCTTATTACAGCTTATCATGAAAAGGTAAATATACAATAAAAATGTAAAAGTAAGTAAAGTTACAGCCTAGCAATTAACAATTTCATTGGTGATAGTGGGAATCGAACCCGGATTGCTCATGTACTGTGAAGTTTACGGCAAATGCTTACTCCTTGAGCTACGACCGCTTTATGTTAGCCAAACCGATTACTTGCTGAATTACTCTGTTCTATGCAAATGCAATATCAATCATAAACATGTTTGCAATATTGCGATGCACCATGAGCTTCTTTAATTTTAGAAGTCTCCTGGAAATTTAAAATAGTTTATAAAAAAAGCAGGAACAATGTTAGTGGTAACTAGAGGTAAATATCATTAATAAATATGATGGCCTGAACACCGCCCAAATATCCTCTTAAGGCATAATATTTTTGCTTTTCATTTCTTTCCTTTGCAGTATTCTGTGCTATGTTGCCTGCACATCAGCATATTATGCTTAAACTAAATGTTTTACAAATATTCAATATTAGTAAAACAGTTTAAGCATAAATAACTTCTACAAGTAAATGATGATGAATATTAGATTCATCATCATTTACTTGTAGAAGTTAAAAAAAATTAATTTAATAATATTTTGAAATTATTATCTACACACTAGGATTTTCTCCTGTATTATGGTTCCAGTTGTAGTTCATATACATAAATTTCACTACTAGACAAATATCCTAACCCAAAATAAAAGAAATATATTTGTAGACCATACAAATACATGTTCCATGCGGGAAACAACCCCTTAGTGCTGCACAATTAATTGCTAAGCCACTGTGCTACAGCTGTCTGAGCATGGATGGAAATAGGTGTAGTGTTGGGTGGTTCAGGGAATAAATAAAACATCCAGTAGTCTAGACTGTGGATTTAATACTAACTCTTTCTTATTCTATCCTACATACAACATGTAACATAATTAACGCACTTTGAGAAAGTAGT